ATGCTGACATTCATAAGCACTTCAGAAATACCTCCTGCCCCCGACCAATTGTGCACATTATCTTAATAGCTGTACAGTACATTCTTGAAATCTGCTCTTCCTCGGATGACGAGACTATAGTTGAGTCATTCAGGAAATTATTGAAGAGAACAAAAAGTGTTGAGAACAGAAAAAAAAGAAAACATTTTAGTATGAAATATCATGGGTGAAGAACTGTGGCTGAGTGGGAGTTTCTCAAAATTGTGTTGCGTGGGGAACTCTTGTGTGTTTTGAATCTGCTTTACATTTCAAGAGTCCCTAAGCAGTTATATATCCTAGTTATATAGAATTTTATTTTAAAATAGGCTGACTATATTTTAGTTGGTAGATATGTGTGTGTGCATGCCTGCTTATCTCTCTTACTTCATGAGGTTAATGTATCAAACAAGAATCTTGTTTTCTTTCTTTTGAGACAGAGTCTCAAGCTGTCACCCTGCGTGACAGAGTGCTGTGGCATCACAGCTTACCGCAACCTCAAACTCTTGGGCTTACGTGATTCTCTTGCCTCAGCCTCCCAAGTAGCTGGGACTACAGCCCCCTGCCACAACGCCTGGCTATTTTTTTTTTGTTGTTGCAGTTGTCATTATTGTTTTTAGTTGGCCTGGGCTGGATTGGAACCAGCCAGCCTCAGTGTACGTGGCCAGTGCCCTACCCACTGAGCTACGGGCGCTGCCTAACAATCTCGTTTCCTTATCAGCCATGAGAAAACACACCTCTTTCTGAAAGCCTTCTGTAAAGATGCCATAAATGACAAAATGTCATGTCCTGCTCTGTTCAGAGAATGGGAAAGAGCAGAAAGAAATACTGCAAAATGCAACGCTATAGAATTTCCTGTGCTGGTGCCATGGGGGAATGGTATGGGGGAGGCTGCAGATTCTGGCAGGAGCTGCTGGGGGCCTTTGAAAAGTAAAGATCAAATCAGTAGGGTGTCATCTGAAACAAATATGCAATGGGAGGAAACTCCAAAAGCCTCTCAGAAAACTCACAGTGGGTTCAGAAAAGGAGAGACGGGAGTAGGGACAAAAGAGGAGGGGGGGAGATAAGAGAACAATGGCTGTGGAAAGCAAAGTTCAACAGGAATTGTCAGTACCCAGCGGCTGGCAGTATCAGAATCCAACCCACTAGGGAAAGAAGATGTCATTCCATTGTAAGCCACACAGGTGGGGCAGTGGAGGGAATATTGTTTCCAGAATCCTCCCACTCAAAGCCTGGAGCCAAGCAAGGAGAACAATACAAATAATTAAGGGAGTAGGAAATTAACTTACAGGGAATTCTTTCTACTTTTCTTCACCTGGTGAGATCAAGTGTAGTATTAATTTCACATCTGATAGGTCTTCTATCAGGGAACTGTATCCTGTCCTGGCAAAAGATGATCTAGTAGATTTTTTCCATTCCCAATTTGGAAGATGTAACAAATTATGTATAGCTCGGGAAACTGATGCACCAGGTATTCTGCACGGGGGCATATTTTAAAATATCTAAAATGAATAAACCTTATGGAGGGAAAAGAAAAACAAAGGGTTACATTACAAAAGGGAAAACAAGAGTCTGCTTCCTTTGCACTTATATAGAATCTAGGTAGAGAAGGAAGGCCAACCTTACATTAGCTCTAAGTCATTGATGTCAAACCTTTTTGGTGTTTATTCTTACACAGAAATTTAGCTTATACCAGACACGTTTTGAGTAGTAAATCATACCCGAGTAGCAGGTGGAAAAATTGAGTCACTCAGAAGAGATTTCGTTTGCAAACATGAACAAGTCAGTTCAGCAAGACAAGAATATGACCCACTGTTGTGGCAAATAGAATAAAAACAAAGCTACAGGTTTACATATTTTTATCAAATTCAAATTATAGGGAATTTTCCTTATGGCTATAATTTATTCTATAATTTGTCACTCAAATATTACTGCCCTACAATTATATTAACGAAACCTCTCTAATCGTCTTACTACGAATGTAATGTGTGCCGCAGTGATGAAACGCTCCTCCTGTCCTCCCCTATTGGTGCACATTAATGATTAAATGCTCGACATTGTTTTTAGGCTGCTTTGTTTCCTGTCAATATTTGCTATCAAAAAACCCCATTTAGGTTCCTGATTCTTGAGTGAAAAAGCATCAGGTCAGGGAGTTAATGGCCCATTTTTCTTCTTTTTTTAGTTTTTGGCCAGGGCTGGGCTTGAACCCACCACCTCTGGCATATGGAGCTGGCGCCCTGCCCTTGAGCCACAGGCACCACCCAATTGCCCATTTTTCAATGTGGCTTTTCTTTGGGACCTATTCTGAAATTATCCATATTGTATGTCCCTTTTTGAAGGCCACTCTCAAAGGATAAGTCTGCAGTTTTAGAGCTAATTTAGACACTTTTAGAGCTGATTAGAGCCAAGTGAAAAGAGAGCTTTCTGGAGATGAGTTTGGTAGAGTGAAAAGGGGTATCCCCAAAGTTAGGGAGCTTCACTTTGGAAACTATTTGTGTGATCTTGAGCAAATTAACCTCTCTGAGGATCCATGTCTCCATCAGTAAAATGAAGATGGTAATACCAACCTCAGAAGTTTGCTGTGAGGATGGAGGTGTTTGAACCCTCCACCTCTGCCTACTTTGCATTTTAGATGTTCTTACAATACTTTACTTGAAGCAAGGGTTCCAAGAGGTTTGAAAACCATTGATGCAGCCTAACATTCATATTACAAATGGGGACAATGAGACCTAGAGCAGTTATCGCTTTTGTCAACTACAGAAAACCTGTTGCAACTATTAGCACTGGGCTCTTTTCACGACTGTAAGCCACTCACAAACCATGGAGGGGTTACACAGGGGTACGTCACTAACATTAATCTCCAAACAGGGAAAGATGATCATCCCACAGCATGCTCTTTGCCTTACTGCATTATTCTGGATGACCTTTAAATGTCCCTTTACTGAAAACTAGAGAGGATACATACTTGATTGTGAGTGGGCTAGTACAACAATCATGTCTTTCATTAACAAGATGTTAACCTGAGCTCGCTGTTAGGAATGTATCCTCTGTAGATGCTTAGTAAATGAGCTGGGTTGGGGGCAATCTAATGAAACTTTTAACTGGTTAACCTCCAAAACAGTCCCTATTTTAACTTTTCCCCTCTCTCATCCAAAGTGTAGTGACAGAAATAGTTTATTGGTCCAATATAGATCAACTTCTATGAGTCTTATTTACATTGTTTTGATATTTTTATTTCAGGCCCCCATGATACTTCATCTAATCTAAGACACTGTCAATTGTAAAATACCATTATTTTAAGTCCTGCCAAGAAATAAAGTGAGTGTGGCAATTAAAATCGTAAAATACCATTGGTTATAAGATACACTCTAACTTCAGATCTTAAAAGAGGTGCATCTTGAAATTAAGTGTGGCTCCATATTTGCTACCATAGAAGGTGTATCCTTTCCCCTTCCTATGCTCTCTTCTCCCACTCTAAGCCCCCTGATATTTCCCTTAAGCAGAGAAATAGCACAGGAGCCTCAGCCTTAGATTTTTCAAAATGCTGCCCTCTAAAATTGTGCTGTACTTCAGTTAAATAAAGAAAAGGAAAAAACTGTCTTGTATTTATATCTTAGCATATATGCTACATACTGATCAAAAATACTGCTTGGCTTGTTTGGCCTTAGGAATGGCTCCACGATGATTTACCTCACTTGTTAGCTGCCACAGATACTTTGGTTCTGCTCCTTTCTGTGGGATAGGCATTATTCTCATAAGGAGGAGGAGTTTTAAAGCCCCGAGGTGGGAAAAGACACTTTTATGGGAGTAGAACACAGACCTGCTGCCATATGCATGAATGTGGGCACTGGATACTTCCAGTATCACGGGTTAATCATTCCCCTGGCAACAGAGCTCATACAGGGCAGTTCCAAAGGGACCTTGCCACACTGCCTAATAATTGTATTTGGTGTTAATACCAAAATCATCCCATCTGTGTCATAACAAAATATTTTTCTCCCTTTGCTCAGGCATCCCTTTTGTGTGCAGCATCAAAATGAAATTTCACTTTTTCAAACCCACATATCCAATTACTTATAAGGCAACACTTTATCTTCCATGGGGAAAAAAACATGTTCTACTTTTTAAAAAGTATTTAATGCTCATTATATATGAGTGAGACCACTGAAGACATTTTGTGTTTGCACTAAATATTTTCGCCTTTTGACACCAGATGCAATATGAGCAAAATCCAAATGTACATATTCTCTTTCCAAGCTCAAATTACTTTGTCAATACCTCTAAACATGTTGTATAGAATATGTCATGTTTATCAGAAGACATTTTGTGTTTATTGCTGATGGAGATTAGTATGTCATCTTAATAACGGTCAAGAAGCAATTAGTTGTGATCCAAGGGGAACTTGACTCTCTAGCACCCTCCTTACTCTTTACTGATCCGCACAGGCATGTGTGTGGGAGAAGGTAGAAGAGTGCCAATCCAGAGATCTAAGGCCTCGAAACTGCAGGATGTTATGCAAAAGAGGAGGAAAGCCCCCTAGGTGGCTTAGGAGGTGTAAATATGTCCCCCTCCCCGTGGTGTATCAGAAGGAACCTGCAAGGGGGCTAAGATGCACTAAGGCTTTTGCATATCCTCTTTCCTCCTTTCCCATCATTGTGTGTTCTTTCCTCATTCCCAGAGAGGGGAAAATAATATGCACCACAGGAGGGCAACAGCCAGAACAGACTGCCTTTAAATGCTTCTCTTTAGTAGGGAATTGTAAAATCACCGCACAGACCTAAGGAGGAGTAGCAGAAATGTGTAATAAATGGAAGTCAAATTTTCTTTTGCATATTTTTGTGCTCTCATTACAGCAATTTTCCTGAGATAAAAAGCTTTGAAGATGTATTTTTCAGATGCATTCTGCATCACAATGATTACTATCTTAGTGTCATCGCAATTTCTTACTTTTCTTGAGCTAAATCTAGCCCTATTTTCCTTTTTAGGCAAATATCAATATCCCGATGGGAGCCTTTCGGCCAGGAGCTGGGCAACCCCCTAGAAGAAAAGAATGTACTCCTGAAACAGAGGAGGTGAGCAAAACCTAGTTGGCAGAGCTCTGCAATGTCTTTCCCCTCCCAGATCCTCACACCAGGGGGCAGGTGCAAGGCGACGGCCAGCTCTCCAGGACAAGGGAGAAGGCCAGTGACTGGGTGTCAAGGAGTCACCTTTAATCTATACATTTCCTTAGTTGTCTTGCTTAGTCAGCCATGAAGCACTGCCCATGCCTTTCCTTTAGCCAAATTTAATTAAGTATTGTACCTGGCATAGTTACCTGAAGGCTCCAAGTTGAACTTCCAGTTTATTGACTGATTGTGTACTCTGGGGGTGGGCAGAGAGGACACAGCCTCTCAGATGCTTTTGCTTTAGTGATGATCACCAGATTAGTAAGGTTTCACGCAGAAACTTTTATGGAACTGAGCAGCATGTATTTAGTACAGCTTCTGAGGAATCAGAGTGGGAGCTCAGGAAGTAAGCACATCAAATTACTTGGGGAGTCAAACAAGCAAACAAAAACTCAATCTCTGGATGTTTCCTTTGAAAAGGGGATTTTGCAAGGGATTCTATTACGCCTCCATTTCTGTATTTTTTTCTTCTAGTTCTTTACTTCTCTTTCAAATTTATGTACCTGGTCTGCTAAAATGGGAGCTAAAATGAATGATAGATGCAGTAAATAAGAAAGAGTTCCTGCCTCAGATGTATTTTTTTTTTCATTTTTTGAGATAGAGTCTCATTTTGTCACCCTGGGTAGAGTGCTGTAGCGTTACAGCTCACAGCAACCTCAAACTCTTGGGCTTGAGCAATCAATCTTCTTGTTTCAGCCTCCTGAGTAGCTGGGACTATAGGTATGCACCACGACACCTGGCTAGTTTTTCTGTTTTTAGTGGAGACTGGGTCTTGCTTTTGTTGAGGCTGGTCTTAAACCCCTGAGCTCAGGCAATCCACCTGCCTTGGCCTCCCACAGTGCTAGCATTACAGGCACGAGCCACTGTGCCTGGTCAGATGTCTATATTTCTTTCCCAATTGTGACTCTTCTGATGAAACCTGGAAGGTCTGATTGTAGAAAAAAGTTAAGATTCTGGAGCATCTTATTAGTACAAGACAAGGAAAATGTTGAGTAACATCTTCAAGTTCTAGAATTTTAGCCTTTAAGTTGATGAAAATTTAGAACATGCCAGTTGAAAGGCCTGGCACTACCCTATTTTGATGGTTACATAACCTCAACTTTGGTGCTGCTCATTCTGCCAACCAGATGACTTACTGTCATTAGCTCTTCCTTTGGAACTTTGGTCAATCATTTCTGAGTCTGTAACTGCAAAATAGGATCTTCTCCATTCCTCAGAGGGTCACAGTGAGGAGTCAGTGATGTAATGGACATGGCAATAGCCTAGTAGGTATTTGATAAATGATTTTTCATCAGTTGATCTAATTATCGAATTTTCATGAAGGATTCCTGGGCCTCTTGCTTTTGCATGTTGTAAGAAAAAGCCAGTAAGAAGGTAAAAGAGATGACGGAATTCCTCCGACCGCTCCATTTATCTGTGATTTTTCTCCTCTGCTTCCTCTTAAACTATGTCTGTCACTACCATGACAATCAGTCAGAAGGTAGCTTGACAGTCTTCTCACTAAACTGACTGATGTTAGGGTGGTTTTGGAAGCTTGCATCTCATCTTTCATCCGTGGTACAGATAGCCATTGGTTCTTCTTTGTACAACAGGTACTTTCCTCCACACAAGTGGAGCAAAGGGGCCTGAGGAAGCACTTTGCTCATTCTTTCCTTGTCCCCAATCTGATGTTTCCAGCATGTTCTAAAATAGCTAAGAACTGATACAGCCTAGTTCGTGAACACCTACTTTCTAACCAGCCACATATACAAATGGCCAATCTGTACTCATCACAGGATAGAGGGAGTAAGGTATCCACAGAGGTCCAGAATCCCTGGGAGTGTTTCTTAAATTATGCCACATCTTTCTCATGGGGCTCACTGGGCAGGAGAGTAGAGTGGGGTGGCATTCCCTTACCATAAAAGCAGGAATGAACTTTCAAGATTCATGAGTTCAGACCGCACAATACATTTCTGAAGGAAACAACATTATAAGGGGAGTAGTTAGGCAGCTTGGCTTGGCCATAGGGTGGGTTAGGTAGGATTTTGTAGGTTAGCTTGAGGATCCAGCATAGTCTGAATGGGAAAACGGAATCTGAATTCAAAATTATTTATATATCCACATTTATTATCATCATCCAGTTTGCAAACTTGAAATTGCTTGGGATTTGTTGCCTCCCCTGGCATTAGGATAATTACTAGATAGTGGAGTTGTGTAGATCATAACATGCCTTTGCTGATCAGAACAGATAACCTCGATCACAGCAAGTAGGTCGCCCATCTAAACTCAGGAGGTTTTTTGATGCTGACACCCTCGTGAAGAGGACGCACCCCAGCTGGAAGCCAGGATGAAGCTCTGGCTCTCTGACAAGGCCTGTGAATACTGGCTGTGTCTCCAGCCCACCTGTGGTCTCTGGTGAGCCCTGTGCTCTGCTCACAGAGCTGGAGCGCACCCTTCTGTTCGCTTTGCCCAGGCAGAGACAGGCATGTGCCCAAGGCAGAGGTCTTACAGCCAAATCCTAATGAGTGGGGCTGGCCTTTTGCAAAAGAAGAGCAGCTGCTTGCTTGAAGTGTTTTGAAGGGTATCATCAACAAGAAGCCATTAAGCCTTTCAAATCTCTCTTTTGACTGAAATGCCATCATTATTAAGCCACAAAATAGCACATTGGGATTTTCTTTTAATTATTTACTTCTTCACCTGGTCTCTTTGCAAGATGCAAACATGTTTTAATTCCAGTCCAGCCACTACCTAGCTGTGTGGCCTTGGGCAGGTTCCTCAGTCCTTCTGTGCCTGAGTCTCCTCAACTGTGAGATAGGAATGATAATAGCACCAGATTTACTGAGTTGAAGTGAGGATTAAATGAGTTAGGGAGTGTAACTTAGAACAGCTAGCAGTGTAAGTGCTGGCTGTTAATACTGTCTTCAGCGTTTGAGCATGAATGAGCAGGTCAGACTGTACTGCCCCACACAGAGAGCTTAGGGAAAAACTCAGTAGGGCATCTGTAGTAAAGAGGGAGATGAGATGAAAGTGAGATAGCTGGAAAATGGTTCACCATTTTGGAAGTTTTACAAATACTCTGTGAACCCCAGAGGAAAGATTTCCCTTCGCAACAGCCATTCCTGAAGCTGGTAGGAATGATTCTGTGGCTAATAAGGCTTCTTTCACACTCTCTAGTTTATCTAAACTACACAATGTCTTTCATGTCCCTTCTTAATTCAAATATCTACTTACAAAAGAAAAAGAAGAATTGTATTTATTAGCCAAATGGGGCCATCTGGAACCTCGCTTATTCGTGCCTTAATTTACTAAATTTACTATAATAACAAATTCATAGAATATATGGAATGTGATTCCCATTATGTTTTTAAAAGATGAGAGAGGATTCAGTTAAGAAAATGTACCACTACTAACTCCCTTCCTGAGTCAATATCATCATATCTAATTACTAAATATATCCACTCATAATTTTCCATTATATGTGATCTTATAAATCTAAGGCTAAAAGCCTTACTTTAATAAATAAAAAACAGTGCCCTGAGGTTTGAATAACTTGAAAGAAAGGTGCCCAATATTAAATATTATTAATATGCATATGTTCACATCATGTTTGCACATAAACACATAAGCACAGATATTGGCTTTATGTGGTAAATGTGCCAATTTTGATGTTACAAATATAGCGACTGTGACTTACCCAGGAATTTAACAGAAGGAATTGGAAACATTTTTCTCCTTCATGCTTCTTTATTAAGATCTACCCACCTAACAACTGTGAGGACATTTATAAGTGAGGAAACATTTTTCATTTCACGGCTACACATATTAAGAAAAAAAAAAACCACAGAGCACTTTATAGCCTTGTTAAGAATTTCTTTCTGAAAGCCTAGCAAAGAACATTTTGGAATACCTGGTCCTCTAAGTGGATGTTTTACGGTTTTAATTATTGCTTCTAAGTCTACATTTATCAGTGATGAATCTTGGTGCTTTCTGGAAAGCAGCCACTCCTATGGCTGATCTGGGGGGAATAATACACTGATCTGGGGGAATAATATTTTCCAGATATTTACATCAGATATGGTCTACATTTAATCATTCTGTGTGGGTGACACATTAGCTATTTCATCAGCACCGTACCAGATTGAAAGAAAGTGACTACAGAAAAACCATTAGCCCTTAGAGGAAGAACAGCCCGTCAATATTTTATATGTCTACTCATCCCCTCCAATAAGCAATTTAAAAAACATTTCTATAAAGGCCCAGCCTGCTAAGTAATTTGTCAGAATTTGGGGACATTTGAATACTTTCTTCCTTTAGGTTCTAACCAATTTGAGAACTAGACATAGGATCAAGACGGGGATTAACACACAGCATCAGCATTAATACCCAGGTGACAGGGCTGTGGGAGAGGGGGACTGGGCTTCACTGGAGGCAAGCGTGCAATTTCTTGTTCCCTGTGGCTAGAACAGTATTGGTCCATCCAGTTGGCCAAGCAGAGGGCGCTCTGCCACTCTCGCACTGGGGACTGTGCTAGTTTGGGTCCTCCAAGAAGCAGACTCAAAGGTATTCATTAGGGAAAATACTTGTCAGGAAGAATGGGCGGGTGCTGCCTGAGGCCGCAAGAGTCAGACCTTGAGAGGGAGGAGCGAAGGACAGAGGGTTGGGCGGAAGTATCTCCAACCTCAGTGTTGTTCGAACGCCAATCTCCAGCTGGCAGAGCTGTCCCGCCGCTCCCAGGAACAGGCCCGCCTTAGGATTCCTGTTGCACTCTTGTCATTGGCTAGGAGCAGCCGTGGGAAGCATGACCTCAGCGTGCCGGATGGATTTCAGGGTGAAACAGCTGGGGCTGTCATTCAATTACCCTCCGCACAGTAAACCGAGCTGAGGCGTGTTCTTGTGGCTGCCACGGGGATCAAATGTTCTTCCAACACCTTTCTCCAGGGTGAGGGAGAATAGTTTCCCCACCTCTAGCAAATAGAAGGAATGGGCCAACAAGCAACTTTGTCCTGTAGTACTGAGTTGAAGTTTTTGGAGCCACACACAGCCACTGATCTTATTGTTTTTATAGTCACTGTTACATGTGTGTTTGCTGTGTGTACACAGAGGCATAGATTTGTTACTATTGTCCACACGTGGGATTTCTCAGTTGAGCAATCCATACGTATGCATGTGCACTTCTGGGCCAGGCATTGGAGGCGTCCCCCCAATGGATAAGATGTGGACATATTCCATGATAGGAAATTTAAAATATTTCCAAAAGCATGACTGGAGAGCTGGGCCTTCTCTGTAGCTGTCTCCCATCCTGCCTATATCCAAAGAGGTTTTGCTTATGTTACTTTCAGTCCCGAGATGTCATTGGAACAAAGGCTGGCAGCCACTGCACCCCAAATACAATTTTGACAATTCCTGGACTGTGTCATTGTTAGACCCAGTGTGCACGAACATTCTAGAAAACTCTGCTGTTGGGAAGATTATGATCATACACAACCAAATTAAATTCAATCTTGTAAGATACTTTTTTGGGGGCTAAGTGCCTATAGCTCAAGTAGCTAAGGTGCCAGCCACATACACCAGAGCTGGCGGGTTTGAATCCAGCCTGGGCCTGCCAAACAACAATGACAACTACAACCAAAAAATAGCCGGGCGTTGTGGTGGGCGCCTGTAGTCCCAGCTACTTGGGAAGCTGAGGCAAGGGAATCGCTTAAGCCCAGGAGTTGGAGATTGCTGTGAGTGGTGAAGCCATGGCACTCTACCCAGGGCGACAGCTTGAGGTTATGTCTCAGAAAAAAGATACTTTTTTAGAAACACAAATCCTCACTTAGTTCTTTTCAACTTTTTTTTTTAATCTCATGGCACATTTGAACCTATAGTTAAACTTTCGTGGCACACGTAAATTATGTTGATGAAAAAAATGAAAAAAAAAAAAGGGCAGCACCTGTGGCTCAAAGGAGTGGAGTGCTGGCCCCATATGCTGGAGGCGGTGGGTTTAAATCCAGCCTCAGCCAAAAAAAAAACACGGAAAAAAATATTTTTACTGTGCCTTGAACTTCTTTTTTTTTTTTTTGTGATACAGAGCCTCAAGCTGTCCCCCTGGGTAGAGTGCTGTGGCATCACAGCTCACAGCAACCTCCAACTCCTGGGCTCAAGCAAGTTTCCTGCCTCAGCCTCCTGAGTAGCTGGGACCACAGGCGCCTGCCACAGTGCCTGGCTATTTTTTAGTTGCAGCCATCATTGTTGTTTGGTGGCCCGAGCTGGATTCGAACCCTCCACCTTAGGTGTATGTGGCTGGTGCCTTAGCCACTTGAGCCACAGGTGCCAAGCCTGCCTTGAACTTCTTTAGAAAAATAATTAATGATCTTTAAAAATTTTCCCAGCACACCTAAGATCCTCTCAAGGCACACCGGTTGAGAATCATTGTTCTAATTGATGGTAACTTTCATTAGTTACCAGGTTGAACAGTACTCCAGTGTTTTCTAAGTCACATAGAAATTATTTGTTTTCTTCTTCCAACTTTATTCCACACACAGATACAAGCTTTCGGACATCTTACTGAAACTCTGAGGCTGTCTCAGCAACACAAGAGAAAGTCATCCTGCTAGATCACACTCGGACGTTATTCTTGCTTGCATTTTTTTGGGGGGGTTCCTATCGATGACCCAGTGGATCAAATTTTTTTTTGGTGAGTTGAATTTCCTCTCCTTTCTCTTCAGGGTGCTCCTCCTACTTCGGATGAGGAGAAGAAGCCAATTCCAGGAGCGAAGAAACTTCCAGGACCTGCAGTCAACCTATCTGAGATCCAGAATATTAAAAGCGAACTGAAATATGTCCCCAAAGCTGAACAGTAGTTGGAAGAAAAACAAGTGAGTGAAAAACTATTTTCTTTGTCTCAAAAAGGCCACTATAAAATAGTTTAAGGAAGCCTTTCACGGAAAGAATCTGGGATTCTAGAAGCATTTATTAAGTCCCAGGGGCTTTCAATTCAGATCTGCATTTCTGGTGCAGTTTTCTAGTAAAGCCAAGCTTTTGGAGCTGTCTTATTCCATAATCAGTCAGAGATCCATTGAGGATGTTAGCCTGCCATCTCCTTTCTGATCATCCTTCTGGGTTGGGGAAGGATAAAGCTGGGAGAAGAAAGATGCTTGGAAAAAGATCCTGAGGAGCTTTTGAGCTTGGGGTCTAGGTAGCCCTTCCTCATTCCGTGCCTCAGGATCAAAGGAGAAAGGAGCAAGGAGAAAGGAGCTGAACAGGTTTGGAAGTGTAAAGAGACAGAGAGACTCAGTTCAGGCCTTAAAACAAGCAACCCAGGTGTCTATAAGGAGGCCTGGTAATGACTCTGGGTGTGGACGGGGTGAGGGTAGGTTCCAAACTATACATGCTACCTGACAAGACAGTACAAGCAGGGCATGTGACCTTATTTTCATTTTATTTATTTATTTTTTTTGTAGAGACAGAGTCTTACTTTATCGCTCTTGGTAGAGTGCTGTGGTGTCATAGCTCACAGCAACCTCCAACTCCTGGGCTCAGGTGATTCTCTTGCCTCAGCCTCCCGAGTAGCTGGGACTACAGGCGCCCCCCACAATGCCTGGGTATTTTTTTGTTGCAGTTTGGCCGGGGCTGGCTTTGAACCCGCCACCCTCGGTATATGTGGCCAGTGCCCTACTCATTGAGTCACAGGTGTCACCCCACCTTATTTTCATTTTAATTGGGTCTGTTCAATAATGATTCCTGGTGAGGGCTCAGGCCACCCTTCATCTGTAGATCTGGCTCCTGTGGACTGATGTGGAAATTCTGCCAGCAGTGGGAGTGTGGAATCAGCCTAAGTCATTGTTTTTTCTTCTATGAGACCCTTGGAGCCATTCTGCCCTTTTTCCAACACTGCTAAAGCCCACCATGCACAATTTATTCCATTTCTTATGCAAAAATTTAAGTCTAGAGGAAAGGACTCTGTATTGGGAACATGAAACAGGTTTCTATCTGGTTGACTGTCCATTCATTCATCCATTCGTCTACTCACCCATTTAGTCAGTACTCAGTGAGTATCCTCTATGTGATGAATACTAGGAACATTAATCACCAGGAGCATGATACAGTATGATGAGCATTTTATATCCATTGTTTCCTTTAAACCTCACGATCCCCAATTATTGCCCATCTAACGTGCATCCAAAAAAGGAGGACCAAATTCAAAGTTAGTGCTGTCATCTACTTATTCTATTGCTTCAACCCCATCCTCCCATTGCACCTTACAGATGGATTGCATACCCCCTGTTGGTGTGGGGGTAAAATCTTTTGACCACATCGCTGGCAGAGGCAAGTAGTGGGGCAGATGGGGCCCTGTTGTGTCTTCTCTTTTGGACAGAATGAAGAACAGAATGTTCTGTGAGACAATCCAATGCAGTGTGGCAATGTTATTTGTGTCATGCTTATGCTGACTTACTAGGATATTTGCAAGTTAGTTCTGCTGAAAAGATTTCTTTATAGTCTAGAGAAAGAGAGGAGCTGTTTTGAGTTAAAATAAAAGAACGAGATCTGGTGTTTTCAGCACAGTTACATAAAAGAACAAAGGAATAAGAATAAAACACAGTGGATTCTATGACCATAGAATGACTGTCAGGAATCTTGATACTGATGAAGTGACACGAGCAGGAACTGTCCTGAAACATGGCCATACACGCTTGTTATTATTGATGACAGAGAGGAACAAATTGATGACTGAGTATTACACTCAGTCCTGATTATGTTGCCAAGCTGAGATGAAATCTTCCAGTATGTTTGGGATGAAGTCACAGAACTTCCTTGTGAGAAAGCATGAAGAAGGGAAATTAACTTTTTGTAATATTTATTATCATTACCTAACCGGGGCTGTTTGTTTGGACAAATTAATTTTTTTTTTTTTTTGGAGACAGAGCCTCAAGCTGTCCCCCTGGGCAGAGTGCCGTGGCACCACAGCTCACAGCAACCTCCAACTCCTGGG